GAAGGGCTTTATGAATGGTGAGTAGCACCTTGAAGCGCACCCGGAGATAGACAGATAGCCAGCGCAGCTCACGGAGGATCAGTGTTATGTGGGCGAACCGCGGTGCGCCCACAATCACTTGCGCGGCTGCATTCTGGAATCCATACACCTTAAAGCTACTAGGGTTGAGTAACATTGCACTAGATTACGTGCTGCAGTATGTGACATTTGAGGAATTTCAATTCATATAAAGAAGTACAAACAATTATAGAATGTTCCTCCAGTCTAACAGTAAGGAGGAAAATTTTAGAAAGTATATTCAATTGGCCATATGCTACCCTTCATTAACAGGAAACCTGGGAACTGAATCAAAGAATTCAACATTTACAGAAAGTCTATATTGTGCTATATTTGGCCTAATCCATCTGCCACAAGAAAGACTTACATATTCATTCACTTATCACCGTTGCTGTCACTTCTGAACATTTTTCTGTCTATCTCTCCTCTCTGCTGGCCTCTTCTCAAACCTGAGAGATGTGAAGCTAAAAAATGTAAGAACCAAATCAGCTGAAAAGTACTTACTTATAACTTGGTCAATGTGGAGGTCAGTGAGATTTCCATTCACAAGTGCCATCCATGGAAAGCAAGAAATGAATCCGCTTTTTTTATGGTTACAAATTGCATAAAAATGCTCAAGGCACTTGCATTTGTGTATTTAGAAAGCCTTCTATAGAAGTTATTAACTGAAAGTGAGTAATCACTTCAGAATTTGCCTGGAATCTCTTCATGTTTTAGCATGCCAGTGCTCCTCTGTCATGTGTAGCTATTAAACTAACTAATTTAGAAATTATCATGAAGTGTTCTTCATTAATTTTGCCTTGAAACCACAATGTTTCCTCTTCAGTGCTTGAACTGACTTTATGAGTGTTTCTTTTTCAAGTTATTTTTCTCTCTTGCCAAATCTTTATACATTACTGGGCTACATTTATATGTGTTTATCTGGACTAATAGTTGCCCATTTCTTCTGCTACTGCTTCATCTTTTCTTGTCTTTACCCTTTTAAAAAAAGGAACATCATTTCATATTCCAGATGTTCTGTAACTATTTCCTTACTGTATCTTAAGTTGATATCATTTCTCCTTTGGTAAATGTGGAATGTTTCTGCCTTTGTTGCCAACCTTTTTCTCTCAATGGATTCCTTATTACTTTCATGGTTATACCCTAAGTTATCCAAAGTCTGCCTGGGTGCCAATTGTGGCCCGTTTTCAAATTTCGAGTGGCCCACAGCCTTTTCTCCCCGCCTGAGTTATTTGTTTAGTCTTTCATAAAATAGTTCATTTGCATTTAATGTTAGTGGTTCAAAGAATGTCAGGCTGAATGGTCGGCCCAACACATTTTCATCTTACCAAATCTGGGCCTCCTTGCAAAAAGTTTGGACATCCCTGCCCTAAGGCCTGTACTTGGGATATTGTCTTTCTCTGTGTGGCTTTCTCTTTTTATCTCCTTTCTTCTTCTTCCCATCCCTTTGCTCTAATTCAGTTCTCAGGTCTCATCAAGAACATCTGAGGTGTTATAGTTGATCTCGAGGTGAATGGCACAGCGCATGTTCAGCAAAGATTGAGACTTTTGAATTTAGAAGCTCTCAAAGGTAACTGTTTGGAATTTATTTCAGGGAAGAACCAGAAACCACTGACATGATTTTATTTTAATGTAAGGAAAACAAGAAACTTTCAGAAATTTCTAAAGCAGGGAAAGTTAGCAGAAAATGGAGAAAAACATGGAAGTGACTGTGCTACAGGTACTCCTTGACTTAGGACCCTAATTGAGGTCAGAATTATATTGGTTAATTGTGCCTGTCATTAAGCAGGTAATCATGTGACCAACCCAATTTTATGAAATTATTTTTCGCGGCAGTCAAAGCAAATGTCATGGTTGTTAAATGAAACTGTTGTTCACAATGGGCTTTTTCTTTTTTACTAGAAAATAAAACAAACACCAGTTTCTGGCAAAATAAAATCCTGTAAATCACAGCCATATGACCGCAGGACACTGCAAATGGCAGCTAGTTGCTGAGTGCTCAAAGTGCAATCATGTGACCACTGGGGGGGGGCAGACATCAGAACTTCAAATCCAGGTCATAAGTATCTTTCGAGGTACTTGGGCAGGTGTCCATTGAAACTCATTAAGCAACAACTACCTGTAAATTACAAACAAAATATTGTTGTGGACCCTTTTTAAAATTTAAAAAAATCCTTTGCAATGAGTCTATATTTACACTTTGAAATTATAAATCCCTTAATTCCCAAAGCATCAGAAGGCAAGACAAGAATCAGGGGATGGAAACTAATTAAGGAGAGAAGCAACCTAGAACTAAGGAAAAACTTCCTAACAATGAGAACATTTAATTAGTGGAACCTCTTGCCTTCAAAAGTTGTGGGTGCTTCATCGTTGGAGGCTTTTGAGAAAAGACTGTCTGAAATTGTATAGGGCCATGAGGGAGAACCTATGGCACGAATGCCCAAAGTGGCACACAGAGCCATTTTGCCTGGTATGTGCTGCATTGCCCGTTCCTCTTCCAGGTTTGTGGCATGCATGCACACATGACGATCAGCTGGCCTTCGTGCATGTGGCAGTGCTGGAAACTGGAACATTTTCTGGTGCGGGCATGCATGCTAGCCAGTTGATCATCATGCACACATGCATGCCAGTAACTGAAAGACTAGGTGGCCAATGTGCATGCAAGTGCCAGAAACCGGAAGTTCATTTCCCCCTTTGCATGTCCCCTTTGCAGCTCCTCTTCTGGGTTGTGCGAGCATTTGCTCTCTTTTCGGCACTCGGTGCCAAAATGGTTCACCATCACTGGTATAGGGTCTCCTACTTGAGCAGGGGGTTGGACTTGAAAATCTCCAAGGTCTCTTCCAACTCTATTATTCTGTACTCTATATTCCTTTTCCACCTAGATTTGAGTAAACCCACTGTGACTCAAATCTGCTTTGTAAAGAAATACAACTCTCTCATTTCTAAGAGTGAATCAGGCATTTTGCTTCGCTCCGATCTACACAGGAACAATCTCAGACACCTTTTCTGGTATTTACAAGATCTAGAAGAGGCCTATAAAGGAATCTAAAAGTGTGTGAAACAAATCCAAAGAATGTCCTTGAGGGAAACTGAGTTGCAACTTGCAAAGGGCTGGACAGGTCCACATCCAAGAATTCTTGCTTAAGTTTATGTTCTGTTGTTTTTCTTAAGCTACAGTGTTCAAAAAAGCAAGCACAGTTGGATCTTGCTGCCCTCTAGAAATGACTAGTGTTCAATTATTTCAGAAATCATCATATGCAGCTCAACAATTTCCTTTCATTCATGTGGAATAATTATTATTTCCCAAATATCCTTTCTGAATAGATTAATCAGATTCTTTGTGAATTAATACTGAGTGATTTAACCTAAAAGTCACAACATGAACTTTGGAAAGAGAATGACTTTATAGTCGTCAGAAGAAACATGTACTTTCTACTAGATTAGGATTGATCCTGATATAACTCACGCTAAAAACCTAGAAAAATATGAACAATATCTTTTTATAACTCATAATGGTATAGGATAATGGTACCCTATTTTTCCTGCTAATGTCGTATATTTCATTTTCTAAATGAATTTGTTTTCCATGAATGTCGGCATAGTAGATGAAAAGGAAATAAAATGGTGATTAGTAAAGTATGTCTTTAGCTAAGCAGAATAGATTAGAGGATTTGAAATGCTGAGATATAAGGAGAACCTAACAACTGTAATGCCTCCAGTTCCCAAGTTGAACTGAAAGATATCAAAGTAGGGTCTTCTGTTAGGAGAATTTGTTCCAATGGAATGCTTGAATAGGCATATAGCTCTATTATACCAAGAGACAAAAGTTTGTATTAAATTTAGGTAGCAGAGCACCAAAGAGCAATATAAGTGGATTGTCATTTATTGAAGAATGAGTTACGATTAGAAGTTCATGCATTCCACACATCCTTAGAGTGTTGTTATTACAATAGGGTTTGGGCAGGGTGTGTGTGTGGAATTGCTGGCATTATCAGATGAAAGACAAAGGCTAATGGAAAAATAAAAAAATGTAACAAAATCCGATAAGCAAAGAGAATAATGAGTATTAATTGGAGGAATCTTTATTGTTCCAATATACTTCCAGCAATCATATTGCATTAGCCACATGGGAACCTTTGTTCTATGCTTCTATGTAATTTAAGAACAAAATAAGCAGACTAAGGCTCTAAGCATAAGATTCAGTTGTTATATATTACCAGTCATGGAGACTATGGTCTTAGGGAGCCATTTGTCTTCTGCCCTATCAACCTCCTTTGAAGCTGATCACTGAACAGGATTCATATGACGTGGTCGTTAACATTTTCTCCTAAACATTACAGATATGCCCATTTTATGGTAGGAGTCCAAAGAGAATTTTAGCTACTATCCTAAACATATTCAGAGTAAGGCATTTGATTTGCATACATGTATAATTCAGAAACAGTCTTTCTTATGGATAGAGATATAAATTTATTATACATATACTCTACTTCCTTGTCATTTTGCAAAGTTTATTAGGTTCCATCTTAAACAGGGATTTTTACGTTGAGGAGGAGAATAGCAGTTTTCTAAGTAAGTTATGGTACTGTGCCCTTATAGGTGGTACCTAGGTGGTGCCACATAAACTTCAATGTAAAGATGGTATTTCTAACTATGATTTTCTTCATCTTTAATTCTTGCAGCAGAGTCCGTTCTTATTTCCTTCCTTCCACATTATTATCTAACACAAAGTATAGCTGGCAGAATATCAGCTGGTACTTTTACTACTGTAGTCTGTTATTATTATTGTTTGTTTGTTTTTAAATGAGGAAAGGATCTGGAAATGCTTCAGAGTATCCAAATCAAGCTATTTTTAGTGCTTCCTAAAAACCACAAAACTGTAACCATTGTTTTAGACCAACAGGCCGAAGTAAGTGCTTGAACTGATCTGTCTGTCGCCCTAGGTGTGCAGAAGGCTATTTTGGACAACCTTCGAAACCAGGGGGATTGTGCCAGCCTTGCCAATGTAATGACAACCTTGACTTCTCCATTCCTGGCAGCTGTGACAGCTTGTCTGGAGCTTGTCTTAAATGTAAGCCAGGTACAACAGGCCAGTACTGTGAGAAGTGTGCTGATGGGTATTTCGGAGATGCTCTTGATGTAAAGAAATGTCAACGTAAGTCCTGGAAATTTGCTTTTCCTGTCAAAATGCATTCATTCTCTGTACGCACAGCTCATGAGTGTGTCAGACGGTACGTGCATTTATTTGCATAGCATTACATAGAGTAAATCCATATTATACAAAGCAGGGCCATTCAGATTGTCTTGTTGGTTACCCACACACACACTTAATAGCCTGTTAATAGCCTAGTGATCATGAATTGTTGTTTTTTTTTTTTACAGATATGACCCTTTTCTATTCCTCTGTACTTCAATTTTTGACTTTCTTTCCATCATGGAGAGTTATTATATATAATTGTATATTATTCATGCAGACCACAGCCATTATTCCTCCTTTCATTATGGTACCATGCTTTAAACCCTTTTTGGAAATGCCCCCTGCAATAAGACAAAGGAACTAAAAACACAGATAAAACATTGTACATGAATATATGTTTGCACATTTATAAAAACTGACTACCTCCATTTTTACAGAGTGTTCGGAAATGAATCACCCCTGTAAAATTAATCATAATTAAAGTATTTCTTTGTGAGGAAGAGAGGTGTGAAGTGTTCCATTGAATGCCATGTTTGTATGCCAGAGGTTGAGGAGTTGGAGTATTCTAGTGTGAAACAAACATTTCTAAACCAGTTGAAAGCATATAGTCACTAAGACTACAAAAATAATTCAGACAATTTCTCTGATTATTGCAAGAGTGTAAAACTGGTAATCCTTTCAAAGATTATCATACCTTCTTTGGAAGGGTTCCCAGGTTATTTAGGATAAACATAAGTATTGGTGCCAAATCTTTGACAGGATAGAACCATTTCAGTGTTTTTAAGTGTTTTGCCAGGAAGTGAAAAATGTAATAATAATGCTAAAGGTTTTGCAGGGAACTGCATGAATTTACTATAGACAATGCAACAAAAATACTTAAAAATTACTTAAAACCAATCACATTCTAACATATAAGCAGGTAGAATGAATTTCAATTTTAAAAATAAGAAACTAGATGAAATTGAATTTGAAAAAATAAAACACCACTAATCCTTACCTGAACTTTAGTTTTTGGCTAATCTATAAAAGGGCTAATCTATAAAATGACTCAGAAGATAGCAGGAAATTCAGAGCAATTTGTTGATCATAAGCTCTGAATAAATAGTTGGGATGTTCTGTAACAAACAAAATGAGTATGACTCTCCCCAACATGACTTCTATGAAACCAGTTCCTTTTTTCAGTTACATTTTAAAGTTTTACGTATTGTGGAAATAAATAAATAAAGCCTTGAAAATAAAACAAAACCCTAGAGATACTCATCTCTGCCTATATTTGTTTCTGTGATATTATCACTTGTCCATTGTTAAGTTTTCCCTTGATCATTGTTGCAACCACAGCTGTTGTCTGAAGATGAGCTCTCTTACTGTATTCTTTTGTCCCATATTCCGTGATGTTTTTTCTTGACCATTTCTGCAAAGTTGCAGATCTGTTGAAAAAACACTCCTATTTCTCATTCCTATTTCCATAATTAAAACACCCATTCAAGAATGTAGACAGGCAGTTTGTGTTGTGTTTTTCATTGTCTCTGTCTAGTCTGCAGCTCTTAAGATATGTATGATGTAGGGGTCATCCAAATCCCAAATAAGTCTGACTCTGCTTAGATTCTCAGTACAAACAACATTCTAGCATATTTAGATAATATAGCCTTTATTGTCATTGTACAAAATAAATACAATGAAATTGGTTAATTTAGACTAGCATGAGTTTATGTATTAACAATTCACTAGCATGTCTGATGACTTATCTGTTAAAAATACCAACATCAAAGCCCCAAATTTGAAAAATCAAGATGGAATTATAGTTCCCTTCATTGCATTGATGTTCCTTGAGTCACAGTTCCAGTACTCAACATTTTTCACAGAATCAGATGTATAAAGGCTTATTTTACAGATACAGATATACACATAGTTTTAATTTTGCCAGATGACTTATTCTCTGGTAATGTATGGTAATGTTTGAATAATGTATCCATTTTTCATGGAACATTGGTTAAAAATTCAGTGGTCATGGGCTTATTTGCAAATATAGATGGAATATATGGGTAATTTAAACAAGTATTATCACATATACTCATAGATAAACCTATCAGGATAAACCATACACAATTTGAGACATGTATTTTAGCATCTGAAATTCCAAATTCATGGTTATATATGGCAAACATGTTCATTATACCAGCTGAACTAATCATCTACATCCAACCATAGATAATCATTTTATTTTTCATTGTTTTGAATTTCATAAAAAGTATCCATAAATAAACAACATCCTGACTCCACAACCTGACTAATAGATAGATTATGTTATCCATAGAAAAAACTACTTCCCAGAGCCAATTTTTTTGCCAATTTTCAAATGTCAGTTTTTTAAGGGAATAATATATTTGGGGTTCATTTTAAGAAACACTGTCTCTTAAAATATGCATATGCAACATTTGGAATGAGATGTTGCCTAAAGCTAATAAGGAAGAATCTTATTCTGAGAACTAGATCTACTCAAGGGACAAAAAGTAAGATGGAAAGGTGTTTAGTGAATGGTTATATATGCTCCATTTAATAGTTAAATAGTATTTTACAGTTTTTTGAACAGAAGATGAATTCCATAGTCAGGCCAGTACAAATTGTCATTTGACACCATTAATGTAAAAGATAGTGTTTTTCAACTTCAGAAATTTTAAGATGCTCCAACTCCCAGAATTTTCCAACCATCATGCATACTGTTTGGGGAATTCTGGGAGTTGAAGTATTTACAAAACCTGACATTGAAAATGTATTTGGACTTTGATATTATTTAATAGTTCTTCACTTCTTCCACTCTAATTCAGGAAAAATAACATATGTTGGGCTGCCACAAATGCTGGTTGCTTTATTAAACTGAGTAAATTACAAGTGGTATAAGGCCATCATAGGGTCTGACACAAAGGAATCATTAGTCTGCAATGCAGACTCTGCATACAGATCAGATTATTGATTTAATTTGCTCATTTTTTTTATAATCTGCAAACTACTGGTAAATGAAGAATTGTGTCTTTTTGGGTTAGTTCCACTTCTTCAGCTCTTAAAAGATGATAAATGAGAGAAAACAATTTTCCTCTTTATTCCCTTGCTAGGTATTCTAGAGTCTTTTACTTGTATAAGAACTGTGGAGAATTAGCTGGATGACAGGCTTTAAATCATAAAGCAGGAATTGATTTGTAATGTATGAACATCCCCTGCTCCAGAAGTTGATCTTTTCTAGCCTTCTGTTCATTAGCGTAAGATAATTTAAAATGTTACAGGAGCTAGATGACTAAAACTCTTGAAAAAGATTGCCAGCAAATGTTTTATGTATACAGTATGATACGTATGTGTTCTATGGATATTCATTATTGTCTCATTGAAACATATTCTTGTCTACCTCAAGCCTGCAGCTGCAATATCAATGGCTCATTTTCAGAAGCCTGTGACTCTAAGACTGGACAATGTCATTGCAAGCCCAATGTTCTGGGACGTCAGTGTAATCAGTGTAAGGTAAGACACCAGAATCTGATGCAGACTTAATTGTTCTGTTTCCCATCTTTTATGGAATAGAAGAACGTGTCTATATACATGAAATGTCATTGGTACTTTTACACACATGGCAAGTTATGTGACATCCTTTTCAGTATTAAAATCTTTGTCTTCATTGTGTTCCTGGAACACTTCTATTTGCTAAATAAATTCTATATTTTTTTTCTGGCAGAAAATCTATCCACTTTTAGAATCTACAACATAATAAATATATCGTGATTATTTTATTTATGCTTTCAAAAGGGCGAGGAATAATTTTCGTTAAAAATATTGACATAAGAGTTTACTTGTTTTTAAAACATTCAAGTAGATGAACGGACAGATATCTTTTTCTCTGTAGTGTGATAAAAATATTTTTTCTGTTTTTTTCTGAGATGGAATATCATTCATCCATAAAGCATTATGATGGAGGGAAGTGCTAACTGTGCAATCTTATGTATATTTCCTTTATAGCAAAGGCATTACTACGTATTGTAACTAACCATAGAAACAATGGTGAGGATCTGGGTTCTCCAGACATTAACCTGTGATATGAGTTAAAAACAGATATTTGCACTTTCAGCAGAACTATGCCGTGGAGATGTCTATTTTGATATACACAATATACAAAATGCTATATATCTCTAAGTATATATAAAATGTATTTATAGTACATGCTTTCATCAGATGCTCTTAGGAAGATTTTAGAGTTTAAACTATTTATACTATATAGAATGTATCATACGATCTAATCTTCTTTTCTCAGATACAAAAATACAGAATAAATAAGGAAATCAGAATAAGGAATAATTCCAATGCCTTTCTGAATCCTGACAATACAGTGATGAGCACAAAGTTCATTAAGCATTTAACATTAAATTACTATATGTTCCATCATCAGTGAAGATGATGTGTTCATGGAACACATGCATCTTCATCCTAATGATATACAGTACTTACAATTTTTTTCTCATGAAATATAGATGCTTAAAGCTCTTGATATTGGGCCTTGAAGCATTTAGGATAGAATATTGTAAAATAGCTAGATCAAACAACCAAGTATATCTTGGAGCTAATAAACAGGTAATTAGTTTAGAGAGTAATTATGAAATTAGAGAGTGTTTTAGGGAATATCAATGTTTGTTTCTACTAGACATTTGTCTACATCTCCTGTATGGCTGTTTAAAATTGAACAGCTGGAAGTGCAAGGAGGGAACCATCAGTATTCCAGAACTTTAAAAACAAAATTTTTAAACATTGTTTCCAGAATTCTTACTAGTGTTTGCCAAATAGCTGTGCCAAAATGTTGAAATTTCAAGGAAGCTTCTTATTGTAGGTGATGTAAATGAAAACAATTATTATTGGAACTCATTCATGGCAACATTTGTTTGGTTTTAGAAGTGAAAATCAATGCCTTTAGTATTGAAAATATGCTGTAATAGTAATATGATTGGGCCTGAGATTTAGCTCTACAAATCTTTGGTATTTCTTTCTTTTATTCTCATGTTATCTACTGTTCTGACATTTCGTATACATTCACTTCTTAACTTGTTTTCCTCCCTTCTTCCTCTTCAAAAGTCCACTTACTTTTGGGCTCCAGAAAAGCAGTTCTGCATTCCGTGTGGCTGCAATCCAGTAGGATCCATGTCCTTGAACTGTGATGTGTCAGGGAGATGCATTTGTAAATCTGGATTTGCCGGTAAACGGTGTGAACTAAGCAGGCAGGTGTATATCCGGAAAGGGAAGCCATCAAACTCTCAACAAATGAAAGCATCCCATCAAAGATGGGGCTCTCCCACAGCAAGTGGGTGTCCAAGGGGTGCTTTCAAGTCTTCTGCTGTGGTAATAAAACATGATGCATTCCGCATGCATTGCATTTTGGCATGTGTTTGTGCTGGGAAGTACTTCATTAACAACCTATCCAAGGCCCTGAAAAGAAAATGAATGTCCTGTCAACTTTCAAAACAAGGCTGGGAAAATTACAATGATTGAATTATAACCTTCTGGGAACAGAGCCTCCACCCAAATGCTTAAGGAATTCCTTCTACAAACACCTCACAACAGTACTTTTTAAATTAATATAGAGTATAGACAATTTTAGTCATAAAGTTAACACCATTAGTACACAAAGAAATAAAAAAAACTTTTCTCAATCCAATAGGGTTGATTTTTTTTCTTTTAAAAATTCCCTTTTCCCCCCTGCAAATAAGACCTCCCCAGATAATAAGCTCAATCGGGCTAAAATAAGCCCTCTCCGAAAATATTGCAGCACAGCAGCGGCCTTGAGGTGATTATGCTCACTGCCTCCTGCATCTCAAAATAATAAGACCTCCCCAAAATAAGTCCAAGTGCTTATTTCAGAGGTCAAAAGAAAATAAGACCCTGTCTTATTTTCGGGGAAACACGATATGAATGAGGTATATCCTCCTTTTGGGAAATTGGACACATTATAATTAAATGGTTGCCATTTTATTGCCACATAAATTGGTAACATGCTTCCCAAAGCATGCTTTAGAGCAGTATTTCTCAGCTTTGGCAATGTGAAGATATGTGGACTTCAATTCTCAGAATTTCCAAGACAGTTGATAAAGTTGAGAGACACTGCTGTAGAGTCTTGTAAGGTGTAAAATGTGATACAGGCAGGTGCTTTGTTTTGCAGCTTGTTAGCTTTCCATTTAATTTTACATCTTCGTGTTAAAATATTGCAGCAGAATTCAAGGGATGTGGAACAGGGAATCTGATGAACCCTAAATGAACTCTCTGATCTTATCTGCCCCTGCAGTACATAGATATAGGCAGATTCTTGTAACTCCCTTAGGCAACCATTGCTTCTGCTGACCTTTTGCTACAAGTAACATGAACAGACATGTTTGTTCACTGCCAGATGCATTTATATGCTTTTCTGCATGATATTTTTAAGCACTTGCAGTGATGCTCTAAGTCTAAAGCGTAGGGAGGTACAAGTCAAAAATAACAATATTTCTGGCATAGCAGAATCTGTGTTAAAAGAAACAATGCATTTCTTCTCAATGGGCCACAATCCCTTGAGCTACTTTATACCAAACCAAGGTTTAAAGGTGACCAAGGAATTCCTTGGTCTTGTATTTTGAAAGGCAGATCTTCCTGCAGTTTCCCTTTGCAATGAAGCTCTGTTTGAAATTCTCCTTAATTAAGAAGATGCTGGTTGTATCATATGTGTGGGATGGAGAGAGCCTGCTATTCTGGCTGTAGTTCCAAAACTTCTTGGAAATTCATAATTGGAACAGTGTTTGCTTTGAATGTAGAAGCCTTAAGATAGGTAGTCCTTGACTTAAGATCACAATTGAGTCCAAAATTTATGTTGCTAAGTGAGACACTTATTAAGTGAATTTTGCCCCTTTTTACAACCATCCTTTGCTACAGTTGTTAAGTGAATCACTCCAGTTGTTAAGTTAGTTGCATGGTTGTTAAGTGAATTCCCAACTTATTTTGCTTGTCAGAAGAGCATAAAAGGTGACCTGGGACTCTACAACCATCATAAATATGAACCAATTGCCAAGCATCCAAATTTTGATCATGTGACTTTGGTGAATGCTGCAGTGTGAAAAACAATTATAAGTCACGTTTTTCAGTGCCGCTGTAACTTTGAAAAGTCACTAAATTAACTCTTGTAAGTTGACGACTACCTGTATTAGATGATGAAACATATTATATTATTTGCTATCTTCATGTGAAGACAGCGGATAAAACAGTTTCAGTTAACAGATACAGAGGTATTTTAAAAATGGGATTTTCAACAGTTCTCCATAAATATGAGTTAAAATGTGATCTGTCGTCCACACATGTCCTAAAACTAGATAAAGAGAATCCAATTTAACAAATAAATCAAAAACATTGTACTTGTACATTGATTTATTGAGGAAAATGATCCAAAGTGTTCTCTCTCTCTCTCTCCCTTACTCACTCCCCCTCTCTCTCTTTATCTTTCCCCCTCCTCCTCCTCTCTCTCTCTTTCTCTCCCTCACTCTCCCTCCTCCCTCTGTATCTTTTCCTCCCCCCCCATGTGTTTGTGTATTTATTTTTTTGTTTACGGCATAAGTGTGTGAATCTCTAGGATTATTGGTTCATTTGAAAAGGAAATTCACACAAAGGGAACCAGAATCTTTTAGCAAAGAATTTTATTCTAAAAGGAAATTTATTTTCTTATTTTCAGCCTTTAAACAGGACTTATCGTCCAACTATTTATTTAAAACTGCATGCTGATTATGCCTAGCTTCATTGAGTTATTCTGAATTACTCCTGAGAGTGTTGAACTTTGGTTTCAGTTTGTTTTTATCCTCCTCTCACTTGTACTGTCTTCTTTTCTTTTCTTTTTAACTTTTTCTGCATCATAAGAAGAGATAAGAGGGTAACATAAAAGGATAAGAGCATTTAATTAAACCTTAATTGCATCAGTGAAGCTTTTCCCCTCACTGCTAAATATAGCAATCATCCCAGTATACTGAAAAGAAGAAATGTCTATAAAATGTGCATGTTGATTGTTTTAACCTGGCTTCCTATCAAGAAACCAATTCAGGCTTTACCTGGATTATCAGAATGCCAAGCATACCCATAATTAAGTCATATTTTTATGCTTTGATTGAGTCCCTGTAATGGTAACTCAAGGAGCTATTGCAAACTCCTTGAAGGGAACATTTTATGTAAGATACAGGTATCTTTGTAAAATGTTTTATTGTAACAGAAATGTAAAAGAAAGAATAAAAGATACGCTTTTGCATCATGGTATTTAACAAAGATATATTAATGAGACTTCATGTACATATTTGACTTCATAAAATTCAAAATGGATTGATTTGAGTTTCACATTTGGACATTTACAAATGTATTTTAGACTGAACGTATACAACTTAAAATATATAAAATATGAACATGACATCATTTGGCTATAAGTGGAACTGAGAGTGTTTATCCATTCTAATTTATTTTGGTTGTCTAAATTGGGGGGGGGAGTAAAGTAATTCCTTTCTACCTTTATGTAGCTTTTTCAAATCTGTATGGTGTTCCCTCTTTTCTATCTCCTTGCTTTTTTCCCTGCTAATTGATTTTCCCTGTCTCTACTATGACAGTCTGGTACCTTTGGTGTGCAGTCATCAAGAGGATGTCTCCCTTGCAATTGTAATTCATTTGGATCAAAATCATTTGACTGTGATGAGACCGGACAGTGCCACTGTCAACCAGGTGTTGGAGGAAAGAAATGTGACCATTGTGCTCATGGATTTTATGGTTTTGATGAAGGAGGATGCACCCGTACGTATATAATCAAATTTTCATTTAATAGCTAATAGCTTTGTGGGAGGGGAAGGGTTTTTCAAGACGGTCTTCCAACTGGCATCATTTTTACTATAGAATTTAACTCTAACAAAATTGGTTTTACATAGGAAAGTTTTTTATTTTATTTGAAAATTTGGACAAAGTATTTTCAGATATGCAATCATAACATTTTTAAAAATGAATAAAACCTCTGCAATTAAACTATATAAATATCAATCAGACATCATGATATTTAGGGCAAAATCTGGGCATGAGAAGTTATAAAAAATGGAAAGAGTTCTATAGTGATTCTATGCACAGGTTGCTGAGTTAGGTAGAATAGAAAGGAGAGCATAATGTCTAAGCAAGAGATGATTAGTTTGGGCTCCCTTTCAAAGAATTCGGATGCTGCAGTTACATTAAGTGAGTTAAATATGATATTCAATATTCTTAACAGTATGCCATTCATTAAAATTATTTCCTTTGCTCGGAAATTATTTTCTTTGCAGTTTACATTTTCTAATATCTACTGTAAAATAAAATAAAAGTCCACTTTATATTAGAGTTATTATTTTAAAATAATTGTTATATTTATCCAGCTCTGACATATATTGTTGACATATGATCCTACTTTAGAACTAAGGTTGCTCAAGAAAATAGATCTTAAGACATTGTAATATGAACTATCTCTAGCTGATGTTCAGATCAGAATATAATTATTGGTGTTATGAACCCTTCTAAACTGATTGAAAAACGTGCTTCAAAACTCACTCAATTGTTCATTTGTTGTTTCTTTTTTGTTCATTAACACAAAAATTGTTTTTATCAGATTTCAGACCTTTTTAAACAGCAAGAAAATTGAAAATAAAAAAGGTTAACAAAGTGGACAGTGTTGATTTAATGAATAGCAAATAAGGGTTGTGCTCTAATAAGATGAAAATAACTTTTTCAAAAGATCCAAGTGCATATTAAATTACTAATTTTAATATATGTATATGTTATGCATTTTTAAATTCTGATTATAAATCCTTTTATTAGACAAAGCACTAAAAATACATACTGTATATTAGGGGTGGGTTCCTGCTGGCATTACTACCAGTTTGGCACCTGAAAAACTTTGCACGCACTCTGCGCTCCGCATGTGTGCACATTTGCACCTAAAAAGGTCTGCGCATGCACACATTAAAAAGGGGGGGGATACATTTTTTTCAATGAAGATTGTTCTATGCATGTGCAGAACAGAAAATCAAGATACAGCCGAGGATCGAACTGGTTCGGGCACATGTCCGGCCAAGTTACTACCTACTCAGCCGAACCGGTCCAAACTGGTAGGAACCCATCTCTGCTGTATATTAAAAAAACAGCAAGAATGAACTGAGGAAAGAGAAGAAAAGGAACAACTGTATTTTTAAATTTCCTTCCTCATCTCTATGTGTATGTGACTTCTCAGATCCTCTACCAGAGGTCTGAGAGTTTGAGAATATTGTACAGGATTCTGTTCCCAACACTACACTCTTCTGGACAGAGAGCTTTGATATGGTTCCTGGGATCTGTTGGAGCCACTGTCCCAACTTTGGAGCCACAGCCCCAAGTGCTCCTACTAGCACTGCAACTTCTTTGGTCTTTGCTTTCTGCATCCTCTCTAGTTCCTCCTTTAGGCTTCAGGATTATTCCAGTTCCTCATACTTACTCCTGAAGATACTGGCACTTGGCACAACCACATTTATCATCACTGCTATTGTTTTTTTCCTTGTTTGCTGCCTTGATATTTAGTTGATTGGCCAGTAGCTGCTTGTTCAGCTGGATCTGGAAGTCACACAGAATCTTAGCCTTCTTATTTTCCACAACCATGACATCTCCCTTCTCGACTTGGGAGGTTCTAGTCCAGAGTTACCCAAACTTTCTGAGTTGGTGATCCAGAGCAGGGGCGGGGGGGGAAGAGGGGGTGATTTTGTTGCAGGGGTAAGTCCATGTGTGTGTATGTGTGTGCACACAAGCACCTGCAACGTTTGTGATGACACTCATGTGAATGGAGCTGGGTGCATGCACCAGCCAACCACACATGGCCCGATGGCAATTAGCCCACAGACCCTTACCGGACCATGGCCCACAGGTTGGGGGCCCTTGTTCAAGCCCATACATTGTGCAGATATTCCTGTACACAATGCCTTCTACTTATTTTGTCATGGCACATCTTTAAGAAAATTGATCAAATCTTCAAACTTCCAAATTTACAGAAGAATAATTGTGCACCTAAATCATTTTCTTCAATATTTAATGCCAGGTCTCAACTAAAAGAACTCATACAAACTGCATGTATTGACTAAAAGAATGTAGAAATGGGTCCATGTGTTCTGGATCAGTGATTTTTTGAAAAAAATGAATATAATTTATGAGAGAAAATATATGACTTAAAGAAAAAATATTAAATGAGTATATTGGGGAAAATATGGATAAAAATTATAGAATAACAGAGTTGGAAGGGACCTTGGAGGTCTTCTTGCTCAGGCAGGAAACCCTATGCCATTTCAGACAAATGGTTGTCCAATCGCTTCTTTAAAACTTCCAGTATTGAAGCATTCCAAACTTCTGAAGGCAAGTTGTTCTACTGATTAATTGTTCTGATTGTCAGGAAACTTCTCCTTAGTTCTAGGTTGCTTCTCTCCTTATTAGTTTCCATCCATTACTTGTCCTGCATTTTGGTGGTATGGAAAATAAGTTAACCCCCTCTTCTTTGTGGCAGCCCCTCAAATATTGGAATAGAACACTGTTATCATGTCAACCCCTAGTCCTTCTTTTCATTAAACTAAATGCAAGCATTAGGATAACTTATTTTTTTGCTTTTTAAAAATTTACACAGTTAAAAAAACTAAACTAAATCAGCTTCACAAATGGATTTGACGTATATCAGAATTAAACTAATCCATGGATCTGTATTTAGAGCACAATCCTATATGCTGAGCCATATGTTATTTTCAGTGATGTTTATTTACAAATACATATTGATGGAAAGCTACCTTATTAAACAAGGAACCTGGTTCTCTGCATGCCTGCTTAGAATTAAATAAAATTGAATGAAATGGGACCTTCTCTACCTTGCATATACAATTGCAATCTAAATGAAACCTTGGCTGAACTTGTCTGCTACTTTGAAGTCTATCTTCAAAACATCAAATAAGGCTCCTCCTATTCAAATTGTTGTACTTCCAATTTTTTGTTGTAACACTGAGTAATGAGAATCCTCCTCCTGATTATTCTGAAGGATGACAGTAGCCTCAAGGCTATTGAGGGAGAACTTAGTGTGATCCTTCTGTTAACTCAGTGGTTCCCAAACTTGGCAACTTTAAGACTTGTGGACTTCAACTCCCAGAATTCTCCAGCCAGCTCTGCTCTTCTGGAGAATTCTGGGAGTTGAAGTCCACAAGTCTTAAAGTTGCCAAGTTTGGGAACCACTGAGTTAACTAGTAGAAAGCAAATTTTGTTGGTGAGATAAATGTGTTTTAAGATTTCTGCAGATTGTATTCAGACCCATGGCTCAGTTCTTGTATTGAGACCCTGTAAAGGAAGGGTGGACCTATAAAGGTGTTTATTGTCATGTAAATGTTCAAGCATGACAGCGTTTGATAAGAATAGAAGGTCACTTATTGGATTCACCAAAAAGAAACCACATAAAATGAAAAATAAATGATAAATCTAGTATTAAAGAACTTAGCATAAAAGGAAATTGAACAAGCACACAAAGAATTAATGTGACTTTTCATTCTTGTGGCACTTGCAGGTCTGTAGAGCTGGTTTTTTTGTTATGAAAACTTTCTATAACCATTTTTCACTGTTTGAATGACCATGTTTGATCCATCAACCTCCATTATTTTCATATGACATAGTGATGGAAACAAATGATGCACTAACAGTCAATGGATGCATCTTAAATGATGCTTCAGCATGCAGACAAAAATAATCCTCAGTAGACTAGGTACCACTATTCTGTGCAAAATGGACAAAAATGGCACAATCCTAATAGGTTCTAACAGCAATATACAACATCCTGATCTTTTCCATTCTTTCCTGGTGAACAATGTATCCTTTTGAGAAATATTCCTTGGATTCTGATAAAGTTCATACAGAAGTCCTTGAATGAGTATGATAATTGTGTATTCCTAGATATTCTCTATTTGATCTAGAAGTAGTTCAAACAATTGTGCTTATTTGAAAGCCAGTCTTGTTATGCTTCCTTTGTATGAGGTTGAATTAAAAAATGGGATTTTTTTTCCTTTTTATCTTTTAAGGTAATATTTTCTTTAAAAAGAAAATTAAAATTAAACTAAAATAATGAGCAGAGCAAACATTATGAATATGAGCTCCATACTGAAAGCTAAATATAGAAAACATATTGAGCCTAGTATAGAAATGTTCTTGCAAAAAAAATGAATTCTATGTCAAGCTGTGTGCACAAGGATTATCTTTGTTTTCTCTGCCAAAGTGTAATTTTTACTTTGCAAGAAAAAAAATGTGGACTTTAATGTCAGTCTTCCCCCAGCTTGTTGTAGCACTAACAATATGACTTGAAAATGATAACATTGGTTCTTCAATATATTGCATAGGTGTATAGCACATGCTGTCTCAGGAACTAACTGTGGGAAATTTCATCAGTGCATTGACCATGTTTGTGCCTAGTAGAGGAAAATCTGTGGGATCCTTGGTGCTCTATGTTGACTTATTATCCAACTTTGTAACATCATCCTATCAGTTTTTAAAACTTCCCCCTCTGTCTGCCTGTCTGTCTGTCTGCCTCTCTCTGTATCTCTCTCTCTCTGTATCTCTCTCTCTTTCTCTCTCTCCCTCTCTCTCTCTCTTTCTCTCTTCCTCCCTGGTTTGTGTGTGTGTTTGTGTGTCTGTGTGTGTGTGATGGTGAGTGAGTAAGTGTTTGTAAGAACACATAACTGGTCACCACATTTCAAAAAAGATGTCAAGACTTTGGAAAAAGTGCAAAGAAGAAC